TGAGGCTAGATCCTCCTACTTCCCGCTCACGAATGGCATGAGACAGGGATGCCCCCTTTCCCCACTGATGTACATCCTTGCTTTGGAACATTTTTTGGGACATGTCAAGAGGAATGGGGGGATCTCAGGTTTCCGGTCACACTCTATGGAACACAAGGTCTCCGCATACGCGGATGACCTCTTATTCTTTGTTACGCAGCCACAGGTCTCCCTACCAGAACTCATGCGGGAGTTCAAATGTTACGGTTCTCTATCTAACCTGGCAATCAACTGGTCCAAATCGGCGGCGCTGAACATCACGTTACCTCAAGTAGAACAGGACGCACTTCGGGCCGCATTTCCCTTCAAATGGGAGGCTCATTAATTGCCGTATCTGGGCACCCGTATCACGGCGGACTTGAAATCGTTATACGAAGCCAACTTTGCCCCCCTTTTATCACGGATTAAACAAGACTTAAGAGCATGGCAGGCACTAACAGTGACATGGTTTGGACGCTGCAACGCTCTTAAACTGACCATACTTCCCAGAATACTATTCTTGATGCAAGCGCTGCCCATTCGTTTACCACCGTCCTTCTTCTCTCGCCTGCGCAGAATGTTCTCGCTTTACGTTTGGGCGAATGGGGTTCCCAGGATTAGCCGACGCCTCCTTACTATGCCTAAATAAGCAGGTGGAATTGGGCTCCCCGACGTGAATCTCTACTATAAAGCAGTACATCTTAATAGAGTGGTGGACTGGTGTTGCCACTCCACTCACAAACAGTGGGTGCGTATGGACCTGAAGGTCTCCCCGATCCCACTGCCAGGCCTTCCGTGGCTCTCAGGCCCCATGCCTCCATCATGCGCCCTAAATCCCGCGGTCGGAGCCACGCCCAGGATTGCGAGGGCTTTGTTTCGCTCCTCCATTTCCCCGTTCCCTTCCCCGCTCACTACAGTGATAGGAGACCCGGACTTCCCAGTGGGTATGGAAAACCGACGCTTACGCACACTCATAGGTCTTAACAAATTTAGAATACGGGACTTTAGGGCGGGGGGCCATTGGTTGGGGATACCGGCATTGCGCGCTTGGCTAGAGACACCCCTGGACGTGTGGACTACCTACCAACTCTTTGCTGGCAATCCCGGCTTCACTGCAGATGGATAGGTCGCTGACTCCCTTTGAGGACATGTGTGGGAGGGGGGAGCCGGTCAGACATGCACTGTCCTAGACTTACAAGTTGTTAGTCACCCCCCCACCAGATTTTGCTCCACATTTCCTACAGAGATGGGAAGCCGACTTGAGTACTGATTTAACCCCTCAGCAAAGAGACAAGATGATACACTTCTCACTTAAATGCTCGATAGCCAACAGATTTCAAGAACAGGGATACAAAATCTTGTCTCGATGGTACAGGGTTCCATATGTCCTGAAAAAGATGAACCCCAACATTCCAGTGGTGTGCTGGAGATGCGGTTCCGCAGTGGGCACGATGTTGCACATCTTCTGGAGCTGCCCCTTATTGAGCAGGTTTTGGGCTGAGGTGAGAGATATTATCAACCAATTGGTGACAACAGAATTGGATCTGACCCCGGAGGTGTTCCTCCTGCACATGACCAGTTTATCAAGGCGTAATTACAAGGCGTCGCTATCGATACACTTGCTAAATGCTGCCAAAGCATTATCCCGGCCCTCTGGAGATCGACCCAAGCTCCATCTCTGTGCCTTTGGCTGTCAAAGGTCAATGAGATCCACCAGATGGAGGATCTAACGGCCACTGTTCACAACACTGAGGAGAAATTCCGAAACACCTGGAGAGCATGGTCGCATTACACTGTTACTGATGCCTATCTTCGGATTGTGACCCCTGTGGGGGGCTCATGAGTACTATTCCCTCATTGGGACGCACTTACCCTAAGATATGTGTAGCTTTTGCATCCTGTATGAAATATGCCGGTTCATTGCACTGTTCCACTGGGGGGTCACTGGGGAAGGCAGGAGACCCTCCCTCCCTCTGCTTTCTTTTTCCTCCTTCTCTTTTTTCACACCTGCCTTTACTTTTAATGTCTGTTCTCCTCTTCTACCTCATAAGTAGACTGCCATACAGCCATCTTATTGCACTATCGATGATCGCTCGGGAGATATGGCTTCCGTGCGTGGGGCTCCGCGCTCGCGGGAAGTCATGACCTCCCTTGTATATGTGTGCTGCCTGCATTGACGGTGGGGGGTTGCTCCCCCCGCGAGGTTGCCACTATCAGCAGAATTGAAACTAGAACGTTTCCAGGGATGGCTAAATTACGCTACTTGACCAGTGACAAGAATGTTAATCTCGTAGCTAGAATTGTATTGATTCACTGTGCCTTATATACTACTGTCTCATTTGAGGTTTTGTTACTTACGATACTAAGTATACTTTATTATTTATGTATTACAGTTGGCTGCCTGCGCGCAGGCCTATACATGCAATATTTGTATCAGTTTGCATCTTTGGTTAATAAACTTGGATTAAAAAAAAACAAAAAAAACCCACTTTCTTGTATTCTAAACTCCTGTATTGCCTAGGCATCCATTATATAAGTGTGGGCTGATCAAGGGGGATGCCAACACTCTGAATTTTTATTGCCATGCCAGTTCACAATGTTAATATGACACATACCATGACTTCTAACAGCATTGCCACAGTGGAAGCTTTTTAATGTATCCTAGTCGACTACTTATAAAGTGTATCCTACCCTTATGAAAAATTATTCAGTCGGTTTTAATGCAAGTTATAACATTCTTTGGGAAAAAAAATCTCCAACATAGCTATTTTCAAGGCTACCTCTTTCAATAAAAGGATTTGCCTGACTCTTAGTGAATCAGGTCTGTGCTTTCTATTTTAGGAGATTCCTTGTATATATCACTGTTCTGCATCATTCTTCCCAGCTCCTTCCTGCCTTCGAGCACTGCCATCTCTTCCCTGGTAGTCCATTCTTCAGCATGGTATCTCTTGAAGTGTTGCTCAGTTTTATGGATTAACATATATCTAAAGTAGGGATGTCCCGATACCACTTTTTCAGGAGCAAGTACAAGTACTTCCCCTCATGTACTTGCCGATACTTTTTTTTTTTAAAGGGACAGGTGACTTTAAATGATCCATAGTATGTTATGTACTATGGATCATGATTTAACCTATTCACGTTAGCAGGGCAGAATTGTAAATCTATTGCTGTAGTGTAGTGGAGGTGTGTGCTGTATATATGTACTACATATACATTACACACGTCAAGTACACTATAGCAATAGATTTACAGCCAGCCCTGTCCCAGCTTCCCTCACTCACAGTTTCACTCCGATCCCTGTTGCCTCATGAGGCGCCTCTTGTAGTCGGCGCTGGGCAGGATCGCTGCATCCCATCTCAATGCTCAGCTTGTGGGAGGCGCTCACAATTCTGCCCTGCTAACATGAATAGGTTAAATCATGATCCATAGTACATATACAGCACACATGTCCCGTACATTGCAGTAATAGAGTTACAATTATCCCCTGCTAACATGAATAGGTTAAATCATGATCCATAGTACATAACATGTAGTTGTACTATGGATCATTTAACCCGTTCAGATTAGCAGTGCAGAATTGTAAATCTATTGCTGCAGTGCATTCTAAAACTAAGCCCAGGCCCCGTCTTACTCACTGTTGCCTCGATCACAGTGCCTCATGATTTTCCTCACTCATCGGCGCTGAGCTGGAGAGGAGTGTCGCGTCACTGCTGCTTCGGTGGGCGGCGCTCCAGGTGGGGTCATAATTTAGTTGCGGCTCTATCTCGGGGGGAGTGGGGGGCATTTGCCCTGTAGCCCCCCCGGATCCGCCACAGATGTAAGGAGGACGGCGGCGGCCCTGAGCGGAGGAGCATTGCGTCACTGCTGTGGGTGGAGCTCCATTTGGAGTCCTCTGGGCAGATGCCGGCCACCTACATTAGGACCCCACCTGGAGCTCCGCCCGCAGCAGTGACGCGACGCTCCTCCGCTCAGCCTGCCCAGAGGAGCCCACCAAGGAAGATAAAGTTAAAAAACATCCCTAATCTAAAGTTAAAATAGGATATTTCTCTGTATCACATAACCCTAAAAAGACATTGCCACTTTGCCCACTAGTATAGTGACAGTATCTGCACTGACTTCCTCCCTCCCCCAACACACTCACCCACTTTTATCAGGCTTTTATACTTTACGAATCACCTCCCTGCTGCAGGATCCCCACTTGTCTAAGTTTTGACTGGTGTTGGAGCTTAGACAGGTGTGACATCAGCACCCCCCTTTAGCCCCAGATGACAGTTCTACAGCCTGGTGATGGGCCATTCAGGTACAAGCACTATCAAATAGAGGATATCACATGCTCTCATTTACCCAGAAGACCTGCTCCCTTAGTGAGGGCTGCATCAGGGCAGCGTAGGAGAGTGGCTGAGTGAGTGCTATCTGCAAACACTGTTGCTTTGCCCTGAATGGCTATAACTAAACAAAAACTTGTCACAAAGGAAAAGATTCATCAGCAAGGGTTACTTTGATTGAAAACCGCATGTCAAAAAGATTAGTACTTCCAGGGATCGAGACAGCTAATTTATGTGAAGTTGTTCTCTTTTATTGTGTATTAGATAACTGATATATTGCATCCAAGAGTTGGGCCAACTATTTTTTTAGCAATTGGTAGTTTTGAAAAAGGGCTAGTTGTCTAAGTGTATAATAAAATGTTTTATAACTTGTAACCAACTTTTCAAAGAATAAGGGAAAATGTAATCTTTAAATCGGCTCTAGTTAATGAAATGAACAGTGAAGTGGGGGAGGGGGGGGCTGTGTTTTGGGACTAAATAAAGATGTATAAATCCTGAAATGAACAGTGAAGGCAATGTGAATGCCTGGATTTTAATGTTAACTAAATCAGTTATTTTCAGGATGTTGTATCAAGTGTTTTCGATACATATTTGGAATCTTTTTTGATATAACCTACGTTCTTACTATAAAACACTGCTTTCTTCTGTTTTAGCTGCTGATATGGCAGAAAGGAAACTCTCTATGGAGGAAGAAGAAGCCAGAAGAATAGCTGAGATGGGCAAACCTATTTTGGGAGAGCACCCAAAACTTGAGGTCGTCATTGAGGAGTCCTATGAGTTTAAAGTATGAGCATTCTCATTATGGAGATTTAATGGGTACCAGTGAAGTGGCAGGCTTTGACATTAATCCTCATTCTGACTTCACTACCTAGTGAATCACACACTTGGAACAAGTGTTCTGGATTTTCAGTCTTGTTGTCAGCGATTTACTAGGTTGTGATCAGTGCGACAGCCCATTAGCCGGCATCACATATTTTTATTTCCACAGATTCACTTTAAATATAAAAAATATACCTATGCGTATTCTAGTTACTTACCCTAGTTTCAGTGAATTTGGGCTAAGTACAGTTAATACAATTTAAGCAAACCAGACTTGACCCAAAATGCTCAGATTCACAAACAAATTGGTGAACAACAGATGTTTCCGTATTACTTACCTCACCTCAAACTTTTTTTTTAATATACTGTTTAAACAGAAAACTATAATGTGTATGGTTATTTTTTTTTAAGTGTTAAGTATGACCATTGTTTCATTACTTGTAAATAATCTTTACCATGCAAGGCTTTCGAGTAAGAAAGCCCGCTGCTGTATTTTAACTAGTTGAATATCTCTGTCTGATTAAAAATTTATGTCAATCCATATCTGCAAGAAGGGGTCCTCCCATCCAATCATCTGTGATTGACAGTTATTTAATAGCCATCTGTTGAGGGCTATTCACAAACACAAGCTATCCATAGCATACCAGTACATTTGCAGTAGTCAGCTACTTGCTACAAGTGATGAATATGAAAATGTGATACTTTGGATTTACGTTACCAACAAGAAATAAAATACCATTTATATTTTGGTTCATAAGAAAATACTGTAGTTACAAAATACATTCCCCTTAAAGCCTAACTGCAAATAAATGTATTAGTTATGGATAGCATGGGAAAAAAATATAAATCAGGCCAAAACCAAAAAAAAAAAATTTTTCTAAACTTTTTAATTTGTATAAATATTTAATTTATATATATTATATTTATATATATTTTTTTTCCTTTCTTTTTTTTACTTTGCTGTCGGGGGCTCTGGGGAAATATTAGAGGTCTAAACAGACTCCTGATATTTCCCTTTATAAAATAGAAAAAGAGTTTGAGGACACAATCTCTTTTTCTGCAGCCCCTGTTATAATGAACAGGAATCCTCTATACTGAGTGTTCCTGATCATTCATAACTTGTGGACATAGTATGTTTACTATATTTACAATCATGAATGAACAGAAAGTGATGTAGAGCACTTCCCATTCATTCATAATTGGGAACACCGTCAACATTTTGCCAAAAGTGCCATTTTCGGACGATATGTTTCGGCTGCCGCAATTTCCGTGAATCCCTAGTTCTTTTCTGTCACTTCATGTGCCTGTGATACCCGTACAAGAATGGAGCCTACTGTTGTCATTGGGGCAGAAAGCCACAGACAGTAATATGAATAATTGTTAAAGAATAAAACCCTGTCAGGAGTTCTAACCCTTTCCCACCACTCTAAAAATGTGGTTTTGTCTGTGTCCTTATTAAAGAGATTTTGTATTACTTCCTTTCATAGTAAAAAGGACAAAGACAACAATAAACCTGACTGAGGCTTTAACCCTTTCTAAACAAAATTAAACATTGTGAATAGATTTGAGCTTTATTTACAATAATTTATTCTGATATATAAATATATATTGTGGTTTAAATGAAAGTACATTGCTGTGTGAGCAAAAAGATATGCTTTTTAACTGTTTTAAATCAGTGTGTCGTATATCTATGTTAAGCTGTGATTGCATCCATATACCAGTCTGCTTCAGCTTCCAAGAGACAAACCATATTGTGAACTAATACAAAATGTTTTGAATCACCACAGGAACAAGGACACCACACCCCTAATATAGGTATACAATAAAAAATATAAATAGATGGGGCTTTTAAGGTGTAAAAAAATGCAATTGAGGATAATGCAACATAATAATGACAAAATCACTTATAATAAAATAACATTTATTATTAAAAGGTATCATTATCCACATAAGAATAAAAATGAATTATATATACCCACTAGTATCCATGATCAAACAGCATAGAACCTCCCTGGACTCTGTGCATTGTACATGATACGAACATGATTGATACAATAAACTTATTTTAACATCAATTTCCTTATAATAAATATTAGATGATTTTGTAAATAGACATAATCAAAGTATAATATTCTGTAAGTCTGTACTGCTTTCTACGCGTTTTGCCAAAGCTTCATCAGGAAGTTGGAGGTAACATAAATACCATAAGTGGGACATTAGTGGTGAGTGGATCTGCACTGCCAGGGAGCCATCCCCAGAAACAGGAAAGGACTACAGAGAGGATAGAGAGAAAGCGGCGGTGATCAGATATGAGAAGCGCAATATCTGACTCAGGATACACGTCAAAATGCCAGCTTCCTCGATCGATCCCAGCCACATCTCCCCTCTCTCTGTTAAAATTCCCGCCACATTAACACATATTGTCTGTCGTCGGTGTGTGACGTATGCAGCTGGGACCGCTATGGCTGGGATCGATCAAGGATGTTGGCGTTTTTACGTGTATCCTGAGGCAGATACGCTTGCGCTTCTCATATCTGATCGCCGTCGCTTTCTCTCTATCCTCTCTGTTGTCTTTGACTGTTTCTGGGGATGGCTCCCGGCAGTGCAGATCCACTCACCACTAATGTCCCACTTGTGGTATTTATGTTACCTCCAACTTCCTGATGAAGCTTCGGCGAAATGCGTAGAAGGCTGGACATAGTACAGACTAACAGAATATTATACTTTGATTATGACTATTTACAAAATTATCAAATATTTATTATAAGGAAATTGATGTTAAAATAAGTTTATTGTATCATGTGCAATGTACAGAGTCCAAGGAGGTTCTATGCTGTTTGATCATGGATACTAGTGGGTATATATAATTAATTTTTATTCTTATGTGGATCATGATACCTTTTAATAATAAATGTTATTTTATTATATGTGATTTTGTCATTATTATGTTGAATTATCCTCAATTGCATTTTTTGACATATTGTGAACTACATCATTATGTATATTTTAAATAAAACATGTTAACATTAGGGTAACTTTTTTCTTTTATAATTGTTTCTGGGAAGAGCACAGTAGACAAACTTATAAAGAAGACTAACCTTGCCTTGGTAGTAGGAACTCATTCATGGAGGGATCAGTTCATGGAAGCAATCACTGTCAGTGCTGGTAAGAAAAAAACATCTTTAATTATTGTTTAGTACAATAATATCCACAGTTTCCCAAACTATTTATGAGCATGTGTGTATGTTAATATCCACTTTAACGGTTAGTTTCCAAGTCACTTACTAGCATAAAAGCTAAATTGCTTTGGGACCAGGTATACATGACTTTCTCTTCTATGTATTTACCTGAAAGGACCTCTTTTTAAATTGTACATGTCACCAGTTGTATCAAGCAAAGCCTTTAGGAGACATTTCACAGTTTGAAAATTAAAAATGTTAAACAGTTTTTAAGTGGCAACTTCAATTATATAAAAGGCACAAAGGATTCAACATATAATAAGGTATAATTGTACGTTGGAAAAACCATGATTACTCAAGAAGCTCAGCCTGAAGGGGTTTTTCTGGCTCTGATAATTGCTATAAGTTTCCATACTTTCTGGCAAAGTGGCGAAGTTGCTTCTATTTAAAATAGGTTGGTGGGAAAGGGAAACCACATGAATTTATCTCATCACCGTGAACAAGGCGAGGAATGTGCTGTTTTAATTAGCTAACTTTCTTAGCAGTTTGAATTGCACAATCAGGATTACCTGGCATTTGCTATTTGATGTCTACCTGCATAATTTGCAAAAGCTTCTGGAAGTTGAAAATTAACTGAAAAATCACAAGGGAGCATCCAATTTTAAATAATTTGTTCTTTTTAATGTATTTTAACTTCTGCAAAAAAAAACCCCTATGTACTTTGCTGTACTAGAGTGAAAAACAAACTAAAGTATTATTTTTTTAAGAATCGTTTCAGAGAACATTGATAGCTTGCAAAAATTACTACATTACAGATAATAATCCCAGAGGCATATTCGTTTATGTCACACATGGGATTCATACATGCATAAATGCCATATTGTAATAAAACTGCATAGACCTATACAATCCAATGTAACAAGTTCAAAACAAACCAAGCCATAACAGAAGGAGATGAATGGTATACTATAGATAAGGAAATAGATACAATCTGTACAAAGATGTTATAAAACCAAACTAAATTAACACTAGCGTGTGAGTGAGTCTCCATGCAGATGCATTAGTGCATAACATATAATAAAAAAATGCATTTGCAAAAAGAGAACATAAGTCTCAGAAAAGCTCACACCTAGTTTTATGTATACTAACTCGCCTCCCTATGTTCTATATTAAAAACAAACACAAATCTTTATTGATAATACTTTAAAAAAAAAATAGAGTTTAAATCATCCCTAGGGGGCATGTCCTGGACATGGGAGCATGGGGTGCTCAGCTAGAGAGCTCCGCGGCTTCAGCGTACCTGTTGCACTTTTTTCAAAGACTTTTGCCTGTTTTACTCCCGGTTCCGGTATGTCCAGGCAACAGAAGGATGGGGGAACTAAAAAATCAACTTCAAATGCCTCTTCACAGCACTTCTTTACACCCTGTGCCTCCCTGTATCGCGATTGGTCAAAGATGGTGCCCACCTCCTCTGCACGTGCCTCTCCTCGTAGAGCAAGCAGACAGGCTCCCCATCTCTTAGTGCCTCCCCTGCTGGACCGCACTCTCCAGGGCTTTTTGACTCGGATCCTCATGATGTGGATTGGGAGTTGGGATGTGACTTACCTTTGGATGTTCTTGAGGGGATGTGAGCCCTGTTGAAGTACCAACAGAGACTTTGAGGCCTTGGTTACTCATGTTGAAGCTGTGCTACGTAAAGACCTCCAAGAAGTGAAAAGGGAAGTTTGGGACTTGGTTTCCAATGTGGCGAATGTTTCAGCTTCCTGCTCCACGCTGGAGGGTCTCTGCACTCGAGACCGCGGCTTCGTGGCCTGATCTCCGGTTCGCGGCACTTCAACTAGACATGTGCACCAGCAAAAAATGTGTTTAGTTTCATTTTCATTCGTATTTTGCATTATTTCGCTTTTCGGGATTCGGGTCCGAAAATCAATTCGTTTCGGGATTCGGACGAAATGTGTTAGCCGTAGTCTGCACCAAATTTCGTTTGTGGGCGAAATTTCGTTGCAGCAAAGTGACGTTAGAGGAAAAAAAATATTTTTTAACAGTCTGCATAAGAGAAAAAAAAAGACACTTTAGGTCTGGTAGGAATATTAGGAGGGACCCCCCAAGTTAAAACAAAAAAAGTGCATGGGGTTCCTCCCATAAGCCATACCAGGCCTGTTAGGTCTGGTAGGAATTTTAAAGGGGAACCCTAGCCTCCAAAAATGGGGGGAAACCTTGGGTCCCCCTATCATTTATACCAGACCCTTGATCCAAGCACAGGTCTGGCAGAGGAGGAAAGGGGGGGTCGATCTAGCGCCACCCCCCCTCCCTGCGCCTTACCAGGCCACGTGCCCTTCAGCATTGGGAGGGTGTCCCCATGCCGATGAGGACAAGGGCTTCTTCCCCACAACCCTGACCCGTTGGTTGTGGGGGTCTGTGGGCAAGGGGACTTATTAGCTTTGGAGTACCCCTTTAATTATGGGGGCACCCAGATGCCGCCCCCCCTTGTGAATAAGTAAGGGGTAATTGATGTAATCCAGCATCAATCACGATACATGACACACGCCGAAATAAAAAAAGTCCAGCCTACGACGACCATCCGATCCCGACAAAACCTCGCCGCAAAATGACATCTACTGTCAAATACCGCATAGCATTCGTGAGCTTCCGAATGCCATTTGGGTCTGTGAGCCGAGGTGTCATAATACTAGTCATATATAAAAAAAAAAATGTGTTCCTCTAATGTTACTTTGCTGCAACGATGCATTCATCATTTCTGTAATTTGGATACATCTGAATGTCTGAATTTCGATTCGGAATGGAACGAATCGCACATGTCTAACTTCAACTGCACAAGGAGGATAGAGTACGGCGGAACAACCTGCGCCTCCATGGTATCCCAGAGGCCACCAATGCTCCTAATCTCCTCGCTATGGTACAGGCTGTCTTTGCCTCTACTCGAGGGCACTGCCCCAGCTAATATCCTCCTTGACCGGGTATATCGTGCCGCCAGTCCCCGCAATTTGAACTCCCCTCGATCGCGAGACGTGGTCTGCCGGGTGCATTATTTCACTATGAAAGAGGACATTCTCCGGGCTGCCTGGATACGCAGACTTCCGGATCTTTTTCGTAACACCCTCAGATGCAGGACGCTCCTTCGCCTACTTCTGGACCAAATCCTTGTGCAGGGGCGACATACTGCTGGGGATACCCATTCCACCTGGTCGTTCGCCAGGTGGAAGCCTCCTACACGCTTCGTTCACCAAAGGACGTCCCGGGCCTGGGTGGCCTTCTGAATGTAGAGATATCCTCACTTGGGGACTAGCTTGAATACCTCTCGGATGTCACTCGCCCGAAGCCGGGGCCTCATCGTCCTCCTCGCTCTAGATCTCGCTCTTCCTGCACTGCCGCAAGACGGGCCTGGGGACCCGAAAACCTACGGTCCTTTTTTTATTTTTCACTCCGCTGTCATCGATTGAGTTTCCTACACTGGTAGGTGCTGGGGACAGTGCTGCATCACTGCTCCCCTCCTCGACATGACTGTTCGACTGCCTTTTTATGTTACTCGTGGGTGACCGTGAGTGACTGGATCCCAGTTCGCCCGTTCTGCCTTGGCTCCCCTTTTTCGGAAGAGGGGACAACAAAAGAGAAGAGACTTTTTTTCTATTTCTTTTAAGTTATTTTATTGTTTAAGGTTTTTTCCCTTCTGCGTTTGCTGGCTCTCGGTTATGGTATTTCGCCTGGCGAGGGGGAGTCACACGATTGTAGATTACTGTGCCACTTTCATTACAATCCATGGACTGGTTGAAATGCATTGCTTTACGTACTATTGTAGTTGCCATGAACCTTGGCCCCCCTCTTTCGGAAAGGGGGACAACAAGAGAAGAGAGACGTTTTTATTTTAAGTTACTTTGTTTCTTTAGGCTTATCCCCTTCTGTGTTGACTGGCTATCGGCAATGGTATTTTGCCTGCCGAAGGGGAGTAGCACAGTTGTACATTACTGTGCCACTTTCATTGCAATCCATGGACTGGTTGAAATGCATTGCTTTCCATACTATTGTTGTTGCCATGAACATTGGCCCCCCTCTTTCGGAAAGGGGGACAACAAAAGAAAAGAGTTGTTTTTAATTTCAGTTATTTTAATTTTTGTACAGCAAACAGGGGAACATTGGGAGTTACGCCAAAACACTGCTAATATATAATATACCAATCTCCAGGGTTTCAACAAAACTTTTCAAACATCGGATTGTCCCCTAATTAAAGAAATCCCTTTCTCAGAGCTGGTTCAGTAAACAGGTATAACATGTAATTTAATCAAAAGAATGAATATTTAATCATAAAGAAACGAATATGAACAATACAATACATCCACAACAAGACATTTAAAATCAATTAAAAAACTTCCCTTGAACAAACAGTAGTTGAAGTAACACGAAGGATCTGCAAGCCAACTAATGTGGCAAAGACCTGATTAAAGCAGATACATGCACTGTATTACATATACGGATACAAAGTATCCAAAGTTACTCACAGCTCATACGGCTCGGGGAGAGACAGTCCTGCTCGAATCCCACAGTGCTGGATGGTTGGATAATTTTTCACTTCAGGTTAGTGTGTCCGGTGGCTGTGATTAGGACCCAGAGAGAGGGGTATGTTGTTTATTGTGCGGCCGCACATATATTTTGCATTTTGAAATCGAAGTCCGCGGGTTAGTGAGAGTCCCAAGCAAGGGGAGAGGGGAGGGCGCTTACATCGTTTCAGCCCTACCAACATACCACTCTCTCTGGGTCCTAATCACAGCCACCGGACACACTAACCTGAAGTGAAAAATTATCCAACCATCCAGCACTGTGGGATTCGAGCAGGACTGTCTCTCCCCGAGCCGTATGAGCTGTGAGTAACTTTGGATACTTTGTATCCGTATATGTAATACAGTGCATGTATCTGCTTTAATCAGGTCTTTGCCACATTAGTTGGCTTGCAGATCCTTCGTGTTACTTCAA